GTTATGCTACATATACTGAGTCAAATCATTCTCATCCCCTTCATTAGTAAGAAGGAAGTTCTATTCAAAAGGCTTCTTCCCATAAACCGCTGCATTATGGAACTACTCCCAAGAGGATGCTTTCCCGACCATTACAACCTCTTCAAGCCAAAGGTCAACTGTCATCTTTCCCACATATCCTCATAATCTGTGCTCCTGACCTCTTACTTTTCTTACTGCTCATCCAACAATCTTCTTCAATAACCCTCTACTTTGAGTGACTCTTGTGTCTTGTATAAGGTTAAGATTTCTCAAGAAGCTGTTACATTTTTTGTAGTGTACTTTTTCTTCCAAAGTATCTTTGTGTATATCTTCTTAACTATTTAATCCCTACAAATTTTCTGCAATTTTTAAAAACTAGCCAGTTTTTTTTTAAATAATTATTAAAATTAATTTATAATAGTAACATCATTATTATTAACATTTATTGTCCTTTTCCAAAAATATAATTAAAATCTGTTTTAAAATTAATTACATTTTTAAACAAAATAATTAATAGCAATTTTTATTTGCAAAATTACTGAAAAGAAAAATCGAGGAATCCATTTTAAAATAGATAAACAATGACAATAAGCCACAAAACTAAAAATTTTTTTCCTATAGATGCGGAATAATGATTAATCGTCAATCAATAAATATTTTAGTTTTTTAGGTGATACTTAAAAAATTATTTTACATCACTTTCATCATTACATTTTCTTTTTCTTTTCTATTCCATTTTTTTTTTTTCAATTTAAAAAATATAAATTTAAAAACGTAAGGAGAATTTGTTAAAAATCGTCATTTTTTTCTGATTTAAATCATGTTTTTGTTTTGAAATTATTAAATAAAAAAGGTTATGCTTGGCCGCTTATATTTATTTAGGTACCTCTACGAAATCGCTAAAAAAAGAGCAGTCTGATGAAAAAGACGCCAAACTTTACGAAAACAAAATTTTACCGTCTAAATGCTCATGTATTATGAAGAGGAAAGACCAAAGTTTTTTTTAATAATTTTAAAAAAAATATACCTTATTTTTAGAACATTCTAAATTTTGATTAAAAAAACCTTGTTTCTGTGTACCAGCCGGAACTAGTAAATAATTTATTTATTTTTAATTTTAATTTTTGGTAATTTCAGTATCATTTCAACCGCAAATTTATAAAAAAAATTATCTGAATTATTAAAAATGCCAGTTTGTAGTGACTGTAATCGTGTGTACATTAGCAAAAACATTAATTTAAACATTTTCTTATTTTTTTGAAAAATAAGTAATTTCCTCTGTCCTATCCTAACAATAACGTATTTGCATCAATGCGGAATAACATTTTAAAATTTAAACATCTTGTTTTTGTTTTTGTTCATTCGATATTCAAAAAGGAAGTAGTATGCAGCGACTCCTAGCGGTGTAATAATGAACTAACGTAATGAAAATTATAAAATAATTGTTTGACAAGGGTAGATAACCACGCTAAGCAGTGGTTTATCAGCACGCGGCGGTTATTCAAAATATGGCGGGCATCGACGACCTCATCGAGATTTTGAATCTTCTACCATTTGACCAGCTGGACAATGAGTGGGTCAAGTCATCGTGGGAGAAAGACTTTGTTGAACTTGATCAGTTACCAATCGAAGTGCAAGATGAATTGGATAACAATGATTACTATACTGAAGCCCTTAAGAATTTGCAACCCAAGCTTGCCTTTTGGGTAAACTACGAAACCGAAGAGGAAGATGAGGTTAGTTTTTGGACTATTTTGGTTGAAAATGACATTTCTTATCGGCATCTAATAGCGTTTCTAGCCTATTTAATCGATACTGCTTCTAAAACGAAAGTTGCAATGGCTAAAAGACATGCAGGTTTATTAGCAGCTTGTAGTTACTTTCAGTTGGCATCAATTTCGGGTAGTGGAGCTTTTAAAGTTTTCAACCCGATGTTGTTAAATCAGTGTTTGGATGTGCTACGGAAGTGGACATTTACTAACAAAGGCGACAGAAAACGAAAGCTGTCATCTAAAAATGCACAGAAAGGAAGTAGACAGAAATGTCGGAAAGTAAATAAAGATCTGGAAATTGAAATGGACGACGAAGGGGAAGATGTAAGCGATGACAGTTGCGATGAGGAACAACTGTCTCCTTACGAAATCAACATTTTATACAATGCCTTGGTCACCGCACTTAAAAAATTTGTCAAGTTTCTTCAGAAGTTCTCCTTACGAGGATCGGATTCTTCTATTCTTAGAAGTGTCCAAGTCATGTGCGAGCTTATACGACCTTTCTCTACTATGGGTGTAAACAACGGTAGCTCCTCCCGAGTGTTGACTTTTGATATTGAACAAGCCAAATCTCCAGTAGAACTTGCTTTAATCGCTCTAAAGCAGATATGTAGCAGCTTCCAAGGAAACATCTCGGATATGATTAACATTGTTTCTAAACAATTGATGAGCAGTATATTAATGTTGGGTCCGAACAACAAAATGTTAGCCGGTCAGAATATCCCGGTCGCTTACTCCCAGGCCAGGGTCAACGCTGTAAATTTCGTGTGTCGTTTAATTGAAGAACACGGTGAAGTTGTTATTAGGGGAGTGCGGACTCTGATACAGCATCTTTGTGTAAAAGTTCCCGACAAAACCGAACATCGGTCTAAAGTGGCAGATTCTGTTGTTAAAATGTTGGCATCATTTGATGATGTCTCTTTTGCCAAGATGATCAAATGGATTGGGACATTGACCAACACTTCTAAAGTAAGTAACCGTATGATGGGACTTGAAATTCTTTTTCTTTTGCTGTTTAAACCTGAAAAGCAGGTAAATGAAGATTTCCCTAAAGACCTTCAAATTTATTTAAGTCATAAACATTTATTAAGTTACATACTGTCGCGTTGTTCAGACAGTGCTTCTTCTGTTCGCGCACGGGCTATTAACATCTTCTCTAATTGTGTGGGGTCTGAAAATCAAATTATTGTAAATGCCTGTCAGGAACTCTTTACACCTCAATATCAAAATTTGGAGGATCGCCCACCTCGCTTGATCCCAACACCAGTGCCTGAACAGGAGAATAAAGCCACTACCCCAAAAGATAATGAAAATGCTGATGTCTCTCCAGTGCAGCAGGCTAAGACTCCAGTACCAATTGACCAACCCATTATTACTGGTGAAACACCATTTGTAAATCTAAACTTCACTCCAGTTAATAATAACCTTTCTGATAACACCGGTGTTTTGTCCATGCTGAAAAGAAGAACGTCTGATGAGAAAGTGTTTGTAAGGAAAGCATCTCTTCAGGCATTTGAGAGTCTGGTTCGTGTACAAGGTGACAGTTGCCAGGCAATGGCTGTTGATATCTTGGAAGAACGATGCCGAGATCCATCCTTGACAGTACGTAAACAAGCCATGCACTCTCTTAGTTCTCTCTTGGTGGATTTGCCAACTTGCCATCTCATACAAAAGGCCTGGCTAAATGGAGTTTTACCTCTCATACTGGACCGGGAGTCAAGCTTGCAAGAGAAGTGTATGAAATGTCTTGAGGAAATTATTTTGTATAACATTTGCCCTTACAGCTCATCTCCTGATAGTCGGCAGAAGCTTATGTGGGATCTTCTCCACATCATGTCTGGTGAAGCTGAAGACAATTTGAGACGTTATCTCCAGCGAGCAATCAATCAGTGGGCCAGAGCAAAGTTGATCAAAACTTCACATGTAAATGCTCTAAAAACACACATTGACACTAAAAACAGCATTGCAGCTTGGATGCTGCTTGCAGAACTCACATCATCATCACCCAAATTTAATGCTGAATTTGTCATCCATTACTGGAAGGCAAACTGCTCAGATCAAAATTTGCCAATCATGCTACACAAATGTGTTCTTACTGTTATTCTAAATTCAGCAAAATTGATCTCTAGTGATGATCGGAAAGAAATAATTGCTGACCTGAAAGGACGCCTCCTGAAATTCATATTGCCTGTTGATATAATTTCCCTAACTGTAAGAACCATGAAAACACTAGCAGACAATGAGAATTCTAAGAAAGAACTGCAGGCAATTTGCCATGACTTGCTACAAGCATCTGACAAGTTTTTGTCAAAAGTCATTCTTAATGAAAATCAAAATCTTGTTGCTGAAGAGGATACAGTCATATGCCATTTGTTTACTTTGGGTGAAGTAGCTCAGCTTTTCCCCACCTATGTAACAACACGTGTCCTCCTCCTTGTGCAGAGCATTATTGCTTCCCCTTGTATCACGGAATTTGTTTCAAAGTGTTCCCAAGCATCATCATCATCATCATCAACATCCAACAATCAGGAATCGTCAAGTCGTACCAATTCTCAAGGTTTAGACATTCTCTCTTCCCAACAGAAATTCAGTCAGGGTTCTTCACAAGGCTCTGAGCCATTATCTCAGTTCACTGGATCTAAATGGTGCAGCCGTGTGCGTGGACATGCTTTCATAACACTTGGAAAGTTCTGTCTGCAGAATAAAAATCTTGCCAAAAAGTGCATCGCTGCTCTGGTGAGGGAGCTGGAAACATCAACAGAAGAAGCAATCCGAAACAATGTTGTATTTATACTTTGTGATCTGTGTATCCGCTATGCAACATTGGTTGACCAATATGTTTCAAGGATTGCCGCTTGCCTTAATGACTCGTCTCCACTAATCCGAAAGCAAACCCTGACATTGCTAACCATGCTTATTCAAGAGGATTATCTCAAATGGAAAGGAGTTTTGTTTTATCGTTTTATTACCACTCTTTTGGATGAGCAGAAAGAAATCCAGGAATTTTCTGAATACTGCCTCGTTCATTGTTTATTAGCACGCAATCCAAATATCATGTTTTATCATTTCATTGAATGCATTTTCTATTTCAACCACTATCGAAAACACCCAATGTACAATAGATTTTCCCAAGACCAGGAAGACAAAAATCTTGTGTCTCTCCTTGGGAAATCAAAATCTCACCTTCGACAACGTCTCTATGCCTTTATGCTTCAACACATGACTGATGAACAAAAGTTTAATTTGTCAGCAAAACTTAACCAAGAAATTTTGGCTGGAGTTGTCGATGGAATTATTCCTCTGGACACAGAAGGTGTTATAGTGCTTCAGGATACACTGGTTATTCTTGGTTGCAAAGAGATCAAACTGTCTTTGATTGTCAACAAGACACCTGATGAGAATATGGATGAAGAGGACATGGCTGCCGCTGTAATTGCAACTGCAAAGAAAAATCTAATTACACAGGTGATGAAAAAAAATGTAATTGAAAATATTGTGCCAATTGTCACATCACTGAAACATCTTCTGGAAACTAAACGCTCACCTGTGCTGAAAGAACTGATGCTTTATCTCCGGGAATTGGTAAAGGATTTCAAGAATGAAATCAAAGAAATCCTTATCTCTGACAAACAGCTTGCCAATGAAATTGAATTTGATTTGCGCAAATTTGAAGAACAGCAGAAACTTGAAGAACTCCAGCTGCAACGGCAACCATCTCCCTTGCCTGACTTGAATGTTAATCGTAGAATGAGCATTTCTTGTGCTGTAGCTCCACCACCACCACCAGCCGTAACGGTAGAAACTGCAAACCAATCCGACAAATCTCCTGTCAATCAGCTTGTCCCCAGCATTGCCACAATATCGTTGTCAAAACAAGCCATATTGAACTCTGCCAAGAAATCCCTTCAAAGAATTCAAATGGCTAGTAATGAACGACGTTCTTCATTGTCTGCAAATGTTAATATGAGCCCTACAAATTCAGGAGGGAGCCCACATAACAGTCCAAATAGAGACACATCTCGCCATGTGTCGAAAGAGAATACATCACCAGTAGACAGAGGCATGTCTCGTGCTGTAAGTACACCATTCCCAGATCGATGTAAGAATATCACATTTGGTTCTGACCAGAATATTTCCCTGGTTCCACCATCACCAATTCATCAGAACAATGCATCTTTATGTGATTTGTTTGATTCAGACTCTATCAAAACACCATTATTAAATCAAATTGCAAGTGAAGGTAACTCGGATATAATCCATTTGAAGTCACCAGACAGAATCAAAGCACCACCGAAAATTTGGAAAATCACTCCAAATAAATGTATACCCAAACCTGAGACTACAAATGGAGTGGATTCAGAAGATCCAAATGTGTCTGCAGGAATTCGAAAAATACGAGCAATTCGCTTAAGTTATAAATAATTGTCTTTCTCTCCCAAAATCAAAGAATTGTAGCTAAAGCTGAAATTGAAGTCGATTTCTTATGAATCATGTGTTAATCTATAAAATCTTTTTCACTTTTTTTTTTTTTTAATCTTTTTGTAAATATTTTTGGTAACATATTTTCAAATTTTCATTAAATCCTTCAGTGCTTAATTCTATGTACACATTGACATATACATACATATATATCTTATTGCTATTAGCATTATATGAGTTGTTATCCGTGTTTTTTTATCTTCTTAAACAGTAAAATTAGTAACAACTGGTCTACATTGAGAAATCCTACTAAAGAAAGGTTGTGCTTCCAATAGGAATTCATAATAATAAGCATGCATTCCTTAAATAGGTAATTCAGACCTTGCTTTATTAGTGCGACTTCTGTGTAAAGGTACATTTTGACTATAGAAATGGTATCCCTGATGGAAAAGGAGATAAAAGTTTGATTCCTGTCAAAGGCACAGTTTTTCCTTAGTAGGACTTCTCAATTTAAGTCAGTTGTTATTAATTTCATTGTTTAAGAAAATGAAAAAAAACATGGATAGCAACTCAAATGCATTAAATGCAATGTTTATAGTAATAAGAAATAATGTTAGATAAAAACATTCATTCAAACACACACACACACACACATATATATATATCCCTTCTGAGCTATTCAAATTTACCAGTGATGGCATGCTCATTTCCATTACATATTGTAATATATATAAATATATACACAATAGAGATAAACCTATTTATGTTGTGTAAGAAACACACGAGGGGTGCTAAAAATTCTTGGGCCAACCCATTTCTCAAAATTTGACTAAATGTCCAACAATTTAAGGGCTTCTTAGTTGGGTCAGGACCATATATCTATCTATCTATCAGATTTTGTATGATTTTTCTCTTTGCATTATGAATGGAATGATATGTGTAGTAAAAATGTTTGAAAGTTTTTCCAATATAATTTTCTGCTTCATCGATATTCAGGGCTTGATTACAAAAATACTAGGTTACACACACACACACACACACACACACAATTTGGATGAGAGTTTATATTTTAACCTTGAAACTCTCTTTTTTTTTTCTTTTTTTTTTTTTCTTTTTTTTAAGTGTAAACCATTCAAATCATGTTTTTTGACTGGCTGTTTGAAATAGTGGAAAGAAAGTAATGTCTTTTAATTTCAATTTATTGGCTGAAATTTCTTGCTTGATACCCAATTTAGTTAAGAAATGATTAATTCCTTTTGTATTTGATCATCTAATGCCAATTTATACAAAATTATTTACACATTCACTGTCAAAAGAAGGTTAATGTTTTTTCTATTTTATCTGTTAATTACCAAATGATATTGCATAATGTCCTCCTTTTTTAAATTGGTGCCATGCAGAGGACAAAATGAAGACATCAGTGAAAAAAAAGACATTGGTGCTGAAGGTGTCAATACATTGTTCATAAAGCGCTTTGGTTTTAGAAACAAAACCATTTCTACATCAGTTTTCAACTTTTCCTTAACATTGTACATTATTTTTTCTTAGGCTATGTCCTTTATGATTTTGCTAACAAATCTTTAATTTATCAGGGTAGCTTGTAACTCTTTCTAGACAAAATTTATTTCTAAATTTTACCAGTTTTAAAGTAACTCGAATTTAAAATCAATTTATAAGCTACCAGTTGGCCCCTCTATGCATTCTGATATGGTAGAGGCACTTCACCCATAAATATCTGGTTTTGATTATTTCTGGAAAGTAAATGCAATAAAATAGCCTAAAAATACAAGATTTGTTGTGAATATAACAGAATGTATTATCATCAACAGTGCATGAACATTGATGTCAAAAGTTAAATCAGTTGAATTAAATTAATTTATATTTTTTTTTTTATTCCAAACTAGTCATCAAAGTCAAGAATGGCTTGCATTTACCAATTGCCGTGGTATCCAAATCTAATCTTTTATTGATGAAAAATCACAGAATAGTTAATTTCAAATCTTACCACCATTAGTAGAAGCTGCCAGGTTGTTTGAGTTGATTCAGTAAGTATACCACTCTTCTACATCAAACATATATTTTTGGTCAGCCAGAACTGACTGATCAATTTGGAAAGGGTTAACAAAGAACAATAGAGTTATCCTCTTGAAGACAATACATATCAGCAAGAATTTTTTTTTTTCACTAGAATTTAACATATAAAACGTTATTTTATACCTTCTATAATTTTAATAGATGTGTGCAAAAGTTTGTTGCATATTCAGTCTCTAATTTTCAAAAGACTGCTGGGAACTTTTGCATATACTTATGATTCATCATTTTTCCAGGAGTCATTCAGACAACTGAACACTCTTGGATTGCTGTTGTTATTACCACTACATAAAATTGGTAAGACTTGCCTCTTGCTTTCTCTTCTCCTCCTCTTCCCTTTTATATATATATATATATATATATATGTGTGTGTATAAATTTGCTTAAAAGCTGCCCTCTCAGGCAGCATTTAAGCTAGCTCCTGAGGAGGAGTCTTGATTAGGCCTTCATCACAATAGTTAAGGAGGAGTAGATGTGATAGGCAACAATAAACTACAGAACTCAAAATTGATCACTGCATTTAAGTATTGCATTAATACTCAAGCTTACCTTTTAAATGTTCAACGATAATTTTTTTGCCACCACTTAATTTAAAGACAATTTGATGTATGTAAGTCTTTACCTTCCATACAAACAATTATTTTTATTTCATGGGTGATGTTTGCTGAATCTCACAATTTCGATTATTCCCAAATTTATTTCCAAGTTATAAAAATTGTTATCATACAAAACAATTATGTAAAAAAAAAAAAAAAAAAAATCACCAAAAACAATCACAGTAATGAAAATTTGGAAATCCAAAATTTCAGGATTGTAGGTCCGGACCTGCCCGGGACTATTTTTAATTTGCTCACGGAGTCAGCCTGATTCCAAAATGCTATGATATGTTGGGTACACCCTCTAGGACTAAAGTTAAAAAAGTGTGATACATTGACATTTGCATTTATTATATATATATATATATATATGTGTGTGAAATAGTGAACAGAAAAGTAAAAGAAGTAGTTGCAAATGTACTGACCCGCTTAGTTTATTTCCAGCATTATGAGCCATTGGCCACATCACATTGAAACACTAGTTTTTGTATGATCACCAAGGTTAAGCAACTAGACAAGTGACCACTTGAAAATACCAAGTGCTGTTGCAGAGTTGGAAATTGAAGAGCTGCATTTCAATCATTTGGCTTTGCTATATTCATTTATGCATAAATACCCTTGGGGAAAGGTATGTATCCACTCCACCCCCACCCACCCATGGCTTAAGTAGTAGGACTTGCAAGTAAATTATTATCTCCAAAAAATTCTTAGATTCTAAAAATATTTTCTGGCTTGAAATAACTTCCAAAAGATTGATAAGCTTTAAAAACATAAAAATGAATCAGTATGTGGAGTGACTTTTTTGTAAAATAGTTTGCTTGGATTTCTTGTTTTAATCATGAACAAATATTGATTATCTCATTAAACTAAGAACCAGTCAGCTCAAGTGGGACCCATTGACTGGGTATTGAAATTTTATTCACCTGAAGGTGGATTATGATTGTTTTCCTCTGAATTGTACTGACAAGCCATTTCTTATAGTTTACAGATCATGACAGCTATCAGGGAGATGTGATTAGATATACTTTAAATGGTTAAAAAAAAACTATTCATTATTATTATTGTTTAAGTAATAAGCATTATAATATAGCACAAATAGCTATATTGTGGAAAAAGGAATTTTCGATAGTAAACGCATTTTTTATGTATTTATGGTTATTTTGTAACTTTTATCAAAAAACGACATTCTTGTACATGTAACTATGGTTAATATTATACATTATTTACTAATTTTTTTAATTAATAACTATTTGTACTCAGTCATTGACATTGTGGTGGGTTAGCCAATCTGTATTGGTGACAAATACAAATTAAACTGACCCGCTACTATTTTTACTAAATCAAATGCAACAAAGACAACAATAACAAGAAGAGAAATAATCAAATAGGCAGATATTTGTTTTAACAAAATATTTTTATATAACAAGTACACACGATATAATAAAGTTGTTTAAAACTTAGAGTTCTTAGTTGTTTGATCAAGGGTAATATAAAAGGTGTTATGTTATAAATCTGGTAAGGAATTAACCAGTTTATGTTCATGGTGAAATTGAATTGCTTGATTTACTGTAAAGTTGTTTCACTTCGACTGATATAGTTACGATTTCCTCTATGTTAAGATATTGAGTGAGTTGGTTTCTGAATCTCGTCTTAGTTGAATTTGTCACTAGATGAGTTGATGTTGAAAAGAAATTGAATCAAACCTGGTTGATGTTAATAAAAATTAACTTTTAGCGATGAAGTTGGGTTTCATAGATTCATGTGATGAGTTGATTATTTTAAAGACTCGCTAAGTCACGTCAAAGTTTCATATTTATGAGTTTTCTTGATCACGTGGGGGCTCAAGAACATATTTACATTTTTTTAGTGTGTTGTACTATGAACAGGTCAACTTGAGGTCAACTGTGCGGATGTAGGCAGAAGCATATTATTATTTATGGCCCAATCAGAAAGCATTGTTTTGTATTGATCTCTGGAACTGATTTTAATGGGTTCAGCATAAACTGAGAATACTTAGCCGTGATCCTCTTTTAACAGGTTTAAAACAGAGAATGTAGAAATCTAATTCTACAACATTGATAGCTATCTGCTGTATGTGTTAAAATTTTGGAATAATGCAATAATAAAAATTTAAATTTCATCTCTCCAATAGATTTCACGATCTGTTAATTCGTATTTTAATGATTGATCTTGGTCTTCCTTAATGAGGAATCTTTAATGCCAAAGTTTCCTGAAAGATTGTTTTATACAACAAAAGTGTTGGTTAAGTGAATCAAGTTTGTCATGAGTTCAATCTCTGAGTCAGTCAGTGAAAAT